AAGGTATTATTATTTAATCACTATCTTGTAGTCTAATGTGATTCTTTTTACTCAGTCTTGGGTTTCTCAGTTTACTTCTTTATAACATTACAGTCATAAATCTTTCAGAATTTATTAGCTTCTGTAAAGTTTTTGAATTTTGATGTATAAGATCCTAGAAAAATGACAATCTCTGGAGGAGTGACTGAGTTAATCTCCTGTCTCCTCTGGCTTTCTTAACATTCTCCCTAGAGAGTTCTCTTTCTATATGAAGTATTATATTTATGAGACATAGAATTACCTTTTGCTTGCCAACTTGTTATTGGTATGTCACGTGGTAGCTCTGAATTATCAACTCATACTTAAGTAATTACGAAACGCAAAGAGGAGAAAAGGAAAGTCCATGATTCCCAGTTCCTACTCCCCTTTAAGTTGTTGTGTCGCTGCCTTCTGTTTGCCACACACGTGGACGCGCATGGAGAGCGGGATGCGAGAAGGCCAGTCTGTGACCGGACACTAAATGTGTCCAGCACCCTCAAGCTGTCTTCCTTAGAAGCATCTGCCTTGGTCATCCGGTGCCTCCACACAGTGTGGGAGGCTCATTCTCTCCTACTCTCTGGAATGTTCTCTGAGATTAAAATTGATTCATTCTAAGATTCCCCTCAGAATTCCCTAGGACAAACAATTTATTTAGAATGCTTTGTAAATACAATTTAAAGAAATCTATGTCATGGTGTAACCCTCTCCTTTTGAAGGGTTATTTATGTACAAATGAAAAAAAATGTTTAGCGAAAAAGTATTGTATTTAGAAAATTATTTGCTCAGGAATATAAGGAGTTGCTTGAGGTTATGATGTATCATTAAATGTTGACCTGAGAATTACAGAAACTACAGGTTTATATTTTAAAACAATTTCAGAATGTCTTAAATAACTGATTAAAGAAGCTTCTTATGTTGTAGGACTGGGCTGTGAAGCCAGCTGGCAGAAAATGGAAATGTTAGATTTTAATCAGTAAATACAGAAACACCAAAATGCTTTACTTTGCAAGGCATTTTCATAACCTGAAATGCTGCCAGGACTGTCAACTTGAATATTTAACAGCCTAGAAATGAAAGTTGCTATTTAGCTCATTCAGTTCAATATCATTCTGCCTCTTGTGCTTTTGTACAAAGGCTCTCCTAGCAGAAATCACCAGGAGCGCACTGCAGTGTGCCCCTCTCTCCTCCGGCCGCCTGACTTCCCTAAGGACTGTCCTCTGATCTGCTTTCTGTGGAGAAGGGTCAGTCGGAGGATTTGAAAAGTGAGTTTGGTGGGTATAGAAACTGAGTTTAAACTACGCAAGGCTTTTTGGAGCTCAAGCAGGTAAGCCCTTCTGAGATCTTGGATTTGCCTTGAAGACCGCAGGCAGATGGGTGGGGAAACGAAGTCGCTGCCTGATGGAACCTGTGGTCACCGTCTTATCCATGAGACCTTGACTTTTGCTATAGCTTTCTTCCTGTTTGGGTAAATCTTTTGATACCATGCTCTAGAACTTTGCTGGTTTTCGAGGAATCTGCTTTGGAAATATGGTAGTATTTTAATGTCTTACCTTTTTAAAGGGGATTCTTACCTTGGCAGTGGGGTGGGGTGCAGGAACCAGTGGAGTGGCGGGGGTGTGGAGTGTTCTTGCCCAGAGCCTGCCGGCAGCAAGCTATGTGACCTTGTCTCTGATTTGTTTGGGCTTCAGTTTCTCTTTCTGTAAAGTGAGAACGTTGGATTGATTTGGATCCGTACTTCATAAACTGTGTTTCCATCAAACACAAATTTATTTAATAGGCGCTCTGGGGAAAAAAATCTATTTTCAACTAAGGTTAGAAATAAATTCGGATGAAAATTAAAACGTTTCTTTCAATTGCAGCCCTCCCTACTTTTACTGTGTTAACACTCATCGAGAGGAGCACTTTAGTATTCGGCGTTTCTCAGCCTGGTGTGGTCATGAGGTAGGCGGGCTAACTGGGGGCCTTTGGGACTTCACTTTCCATACTGGTTAGATAACCTTGGGCAAGTTACTTACACTCAGTTTCCCCGTCTGTATAAAAGAGGGATCCTGAAGATTCTATAATGTCTCTAAAACATTTTGTAAAATTCTTTACAATTAGTAAGCGCTCAATAAATGTTAGTAAGTCTTAGAGATAACAGATTATGGTCGATTTATATCTCACTTGATTCTTCCATTTTTCTCTGACAGTGGTAGATAAAGAATCATTTCCATTTTGTAGAAAACAAGAAGAAAACAGAGTTGAGCGTCCTGTGGAGAGGACAGGGTTGAGCAGCTGGGGAGCACTGAGCGCGGGCGGAGCGGCGCGGCAGGTGCGGCGCTGGCCCCTCGGCGGCCGCGCGCTTGTCGGTCCCACGTCCCACGGCCTCAGGGCGCGCACGCCTCAGAGCATCCGCAGCTGCGGACCTGGTTTCCCACAAGTGACCGGGGCGGAAGGTTAAAGACAGTTCAAAACAGGGTCACAGAAGTGTCCATTAGACCTAGAAAAGGTCTTAAAGATCATCTTCTAGGGTAGTCTGCCGCGTTTATTTTACAAATGGGGCCATAAACTCCAGAGCAGGGAAATACCTGGCGTAAAGCTGCATAATTTTAGTGAGGTTAGTTCTCTCCCTCGATGGGGCTGAGACTGTGGAAGAGGGCAAACGCCTTGCGTGAAGCGTGCGCTGCTCTGTCTTTATCTGTCCACGGTTCACTCGAGGAGATCTTTTAGTGGCTATGGTTTTGTGTCCGTGTGAGCTGCAAGAGAACAGTGAGCTATTGTGTTCTGATCTCGCAGGCACTAGACAAAGGCAGCGTGGTAATGGACGCATGTGCTAGCGAGTCCATTTTGATGGTTGGATCGTAATTTATGCATCTTACGTAATCCTAATGCTTGGGCAACGATTTATCCATCAGGTGACCAGGAAATCCTGCTGTTCTCTGTCCTTTAGGTGTGTGGTTTGACTTTCTCTAATGATTTTTCAGAAGATCTGACTGTGACAATTGGAGCCAGGAGTTGAAGGGAGTTGTCACAATTGCGTCTGTGTATGGAGCATTTTGATACGGGCGGTTTAACATCAGGCAGCCGGCAGGTGCAGGGACTCCTGCATCCATATTAAGAGGAAGAGCAAGCTCTTTTTCTCCTCAAATCTTCACTACCTGGAATTAGAATAGTTCGTTGGTTGAGGGTGGTGGGGGAAGAGATACCACAGTTAAAGGAGCTGCAGAATGGAAAGAAGGTACTAATTATCTCACTGTTCAGTAGTTTTTGTTTAGTGCTTTTACATATTGTGAAATTTTCTTTTATAAAGTTCCACTCAGTACAGACTTAGGAATTTCACATAGTGTTCCAAGGTTTGATAAGAAAGTAACAAAATATAAGGTAGTGTTACATACTGCAGTCTTTCTACTTAAGATAAATGGGATTTTTAATTACATTTTTTGGGGATAGACTTAAGCAAGCTAAAATGAAGTTTCAAAGTGGGAACTAATTTGCTAAGGTATCAGTGCTTTGAATGAAGTACAGCAAAGTCAGATATGTTTAGCTGGATCTAGAAAATCAGAAAAGATAGCCGTAGATGAGGATGTGCACACGGATATTTAAGTTGTAGTGCCTGTAGGGTTTGGAAGAATGCTGGTCTGTATTATGCTGATTCCCATCTCCTCTCTGAGGTTGGCCCCAGGCTTCCTCGTGAGCGGGAGCAGTGACCTCTGCTTCCCCAAGGCCTTGTCTGGAGTGTTAATGTCATCTTGCACCAGGCCATGTGCAAACACAGAGCTAATTTGGATTTAAAATGTGTAGAGAGAGAAAGTCCAGATGATTTTCGTGGGTTTCATTAGTAACTAGAAGGAGAGGTTGGGGTAGAAGGCAGGAGGGTGGAAAGAATGGAGGTTCAGGCCTTTGAAGGCTGTGAGCAATGGAGGAGCCTGGAGATCCCGGGCCGCTGCTACCTCCTGCCGCCTTTGATTGTGGGCCCACAGAAATGGGAGCTGCCAGCCCTGGGGGCGGGGGTTGGGGGGAGGTGTGTGAATCAGACAAACGCTGGTGAATTATCATTTTGCATATGCAGAGTACCAGAGTGAGCTCTCACTACTGTGACCTTCGTAAATTTGAATCAAGGAAAATAATTTAAATTAGGATAAGATGGGGATGATAAGGTTTATCTTTACCTAGCTCACTGTTTAGTTGTAAATGATGTAAGTTAATGGAGTTTCAATATCGCAGGAGGTTGACGTGCATACAGTTGATAGATTTTTAAGTCATTGAGGTTGATTTATTGAAGCCAGCCCTATGTTCTTGGATGTAATCAAATCCTAATTCTTTAGAACTATGCCATTTCCCGTTTATGTTCAGATGGTGTTTCTGGCGCGTGGTTCCTTCCCGCAGGCGAGCTTCTTCACAGCAGCCGCGTGTTTCCCTTGGGCCCTCAGGGACTCTGTAGACAGAATGGGAAGAGATCAGGTACTATCCTGCACTTTGGCATCCAGGCTTAAAGAAAACCCCCCACAAATATCCTTGCCCTCTCCTCATGCTATTGAAAACATTTTAGTGAATAAAGAGTTAATTTATTAAAAACCTTTTGAGAAATTTGCTTAGTGTGTTCTTGAGAGAATTCATTTCAAAAACCATGTCACTCATTTTTGTACCTTTTATTTCATCACATCTGCTTAACTGAAGTCCATAAATTCTTGCCTTATCGTGCATATCAAAATTCTGTAGTCAGATTGCTTATTGAAAGTAGTGAGTAGAATACATATGTGATTACACAAACAAATATGCATAGCTTTTTTGCTTTAATTGTGGTCTTTTGAAAGCTGAGGTTTTAGAGCTACCTCATGAGCAGTCAGTTCTGTAGATTCTTTTTAATCTTTTTTTTTTCTTTTAGGAAGATTAGCCCTGAGCTAACATCTGCCACCCATCCTTCTCTTTTTGCTGAGGAACACTGGCCCTGAGCTAACATCCGTGCCTATCTTCCTCTGCTCTATATGTGGGGCACCTGCCACAGCATGGCTTGACAAGTGGTGCCATGTCCACACCTGGGATCCGAACTGCTGAACCCGGAGCTGCTGAAGTGGAACGTGGGAACTTAACTGCTGTGCCACCGGGCCGACCCCAGTTGTATAGATTTGTATAATAATGTGAGTTATGTCACTGGCAAGCCAGTATATTTCCATCCTAATTTTTCAAGTATGTGTCTATTAGAGGTGAAATACATGGAAAGCTTATGAAACAGAATGTGCCCATTTAAAAAGATACTGCATTAAGTTGTATTTGTAGCAGGTTATAATTTATGTATGTTTTAGTTCAGGTTATTGATAAACTGTGATTTTGTTCATTCAGTTTATTCTAGAGGTCACAAGAGGATTTTAGCTTTTAAAATAAGAATTCATAGGGCTGGCCCCATGGCATAGTGGTTAAAGTTCGGCGAGCTCCCCTTCAGTGGCCTGGGTTCACGGGCTGAGATCCCAGGCGGGGACCGACTCCACTAATCAGCCAAGCTGTGATGGTGACCCACATGCAACGATATCTCCTTTTCTTTAAGTCTTAAGCACATAGGAAGGGAAGTAAACAGATGGAGAAATTTTGTCGTCCATAATATAGCTTCCTGGTGCATTTCACCGGCAGAAGCAAGGTCACTGCCTGTATTCTCCTTTCAAGGGAGTCTGTATTTCAAGGTTTTCTGGCCTCTGCTTTGGAGAAGGCAAGACTCACAATGTGGGAAATTACCTAGACGCTAGACAGCTACATGTGACAAATGGTTGCAATAGAATTCATATTAATTTTATTAACCACTTTTTTAATATTTTTCCATATAAGAAGAGCATGTAATATGAATTTTTTCTTAGCTAGTGTGAGAATATTTACCTTCTTCTTTTTATCATAATAGATTCTCAACAAATTTTGAATGAATAATAATACTTAAAATTTATTGAGTGCTCCTTGTGGAATGGGCTGTTCCAAGTGAATACGTTAAGTAATCGATAGAAACTGAGCCAAAAGACTTGACTTAGAAGGTTGTGCACATTTGATTTAGATAAGACGACAGAACTACTTAGAAGGGGAAGGGTCATGATGTGTTGGGGTCTTCGGTTCTGAGCTGTAAGTGGGTAGGTGCTCCAGATTTTAAGAGATTTGGAAGAGAATGCTTAGAATGACCACTTTTGAGTAATTATGAGGAATGGGAGGGGAGAGAGGTAGGATATTATAGGCCCACTTAAAAATTCACTTATAGTGCTAGCAGTTAATACAGTGACTGGAAAATAATAAATGCTCAACAAACTTTTGTTTTTTAAAAAAACAACTTTTGAAAATTGTGGTAAAATGTACATAACATAAAATTAACCATTTAAGTAGTTTTAAGTGTATAATTCAGTGGCATTAAGTGCATTTACTTTGTTGTGCAACCAGCAGCACTCCAGAACTTTCTCATCATCTCAGTCTGAAGCACTGCACCCATTAGCAGCTCCTCGGTACTTCCTCCTCCAGCCCCTGGCAACCACCATTTCACTTTCGGTTTCTATAAATTTGGCAGTTCTAGATACCTCATGTAAGTGGTATCGTATGGTATTTGTCCTTGGGTATCTGGTTTATTTCACTTACCATAATGTTTTCAAGGTTCATCCGTGTTGTAGCATGTGCCAGAATTTCATTCCTTTTTTAACACTGAATTTGTTTATGTTTGTTTGTCAGTGGACCTTTGAGTTGTTTCCATCTTACAGCTATTGTGAATAATAGTATTGCTGTGAACACTGGTGCACAAATTTCTGTTTGAGTCTCTGTTTTCGTTTCTTTTGGGTATATACCTAGAAGTGGAATTGCTAGGTCATCAGGTCATTCTACATTTAGGTGTCTGAGGAGCCATCATACTGTTTTCCACAGTTACATTCCCACCAGCGATGCACAAGGGTTCCAATTTCTCCACATCCTTGCCAACACTCACTCTGTTCTGTATTTTTTTAATAATAGCCATGCTACAGGATATGAAGTGGTATCTTATTGTGGTTCTGATTGTATTTTCCTAATGATGAGTGATATTGGACATCTTCTGATATGCTTATTGGCCATTAGTATATATTCTTTGGAGAAATATCTATTCAGGTCCTTTGCCCATTAAAAATTTTTTATTGATGAGTTTTGTGAATTCTGTATATATTCTGGATATTAATCGCTTATTTGATATGATCTGTAAATATTTCTCCCATTCCACAGGTTGTCTTTTCATTCTCTTGATAGTATCTTTTGATGCACAAAAATTTTCACCTTTGATGAGGTCCAGTTTATCTACTTTTTCTATTCGTTGTTGCCAATCCAGTGTCATGAGTCTTTTCACCTATAGAGTTTTATAGTTTTAGTTGTTATATAAAGGTCTTTGATCCATTTTGAGCTAATTTTTGTATATAGCATAAGGTAAGGGACTAACTTTATTCTTTTGGGTGTGGATATCTGGTTTTCCCAGGACCGTTTTTTGAATGAATACACTTTAAGTGTTTTTATTGAACTATAAAATGCACAAAAAAGTATGTGTATCATAAGAATACAGCTCCATAGATTTTTATAAAGTTGAACACATTATGAACACCAGCACCCAGATCAAGAAATAACCTTACCGGGACCCTGGAAGCCCCCGGCTTGCCCTCCTGGTCACTCCCCCAGTGCCCCACCTCACTGATGATGATTGCTTTCCATAGGTTAGTTTTGCCGGTTATTGAGTTTATATCTGTCAAATCAGACTATGTATTATTTCATGTCTGGATTCTTTTGCTTAGCATATTGTCTGTGAGATTTATCCATGTTATTCTATATAGCGGTAGTTTTTTAAAAATTATGTAATATTCTATTGTATGAATATACTACAATTTATTTGTTCTCCTATATATGGGCATTTTGATTATTTCCCATTGGAGATATCAGGAATAGTGCTGCTGTGGACGTTCTTGTACTTGTCCTTGGGTGAATATCTTCATTTTCTTTGGATGTATATACCTAGGCGTAGAATTGCTAGGTCCCAGGAAATGTCTACGTTCAGTCTTAGTTGTTACTTGCAGCTGGTTTTCTAAGGTGGTGATACTAATTTGCGTGCCTGCTGGTGGGAGGTGAGAGTTCTAGTTGCTGCACGTCTTGTCTAGCATTGCTGTTCCTTTCTTGTTCATTTTAACCATTTTGGTGGCTGTATAGTGGTAGCACTCTGATTTTAATTTGAATTTCCCTGACACTACTGAGGTTAAGCATCTTTTCAAATGTTTACTGGCCACTTGCGCATCTTCTTTTGTGAAACGCTCATTCAGTGTATTAGGCCATTTTTCTGCTGATTGTCTGCCATCATCTCACTGATTTGTGGGAATTCTTGAGATTTTCTCAATGAGGCCTCAGTTTGACATGTGTAGTGCAGATATCTTCTCCTGTTCTTTGGATTGCCTTCGTAATGGGGCCTTTTAATGAACACGTGTTCTTAATTTTAATGAAATCGAGTGTATGTCCTTTTTTCCTTTACGGTTGGTACCTTTTTGTGAGCTTTTAAAAAATCTTTACCTAGGGGCCAGCCCCGTGGCTGAGTGGTTAATTCTGAGCGCTCGGCCTCGGCAGCCCAGGGTTCCGCTGATTGGGATCCTGGGTGTGGACATGGCACTGCTGGTCAGGCCATACGGAGGCGGCATCCCACATGGCACAACTAGAAGGACCCACAACTAAAAATCTACAACTATGTACTGGGGGGCTTTGGGGAGAAAAAGGAAAAGTAAAATCTTTAAAAAAAAAAATCTTTACCTAAAGTCATGAGGGTATTTGCCAGTTTTTTTTTTTCTCTAAAATCTTAATTATTTTAAGATCTACAATACTTTGGAGTTCCTTTTGGTGTATAGGTCTGGTAGAGAGCAAGATTCTTTTTTATACCATGTAGATATCTGGTGATCGAGACCATGGTTTTCCTGTTGCACACTCTATTGCAGTACCTTACTTCAAATTATGTCCCCTTTGTCATAAATCATGTCTGTTTCTGAATTCTCTTATCTGTTCTGGGGTGCCTGTTTATCTTGCTGTTGGTGTTGGCTGTCATATTGTCCCCTGTAGCTTTATAATGTCTTGATATCTGATAGTGCAAACCATCTAGATTTGTTCTTATTCTGAGCCCTTTGCATTTCCATATAAATGTTAGAATCAGTTTATCAATTTTGTAAAAAGAAACCATACACGTTAGGATTTTTATTAGATTGTATTGAATCCATAGATCACTTTGGGAAGAATTGTCATCTTTGAAATAATTGAACTTTCCAAACCATGTATGTGGTATATTTTTTCATTTAATTGCATGCTTTAAAATTTTTCTCAATAATGTTTTATGGTTTTCAGCGTAGGGGTCTCATTCATCTTTTGTCAGATTTGGTATTAAATCTTTAATATTAATTAATGCCACTGTAAATGACTTTTTAAAATTTTATTTAAGAATTTTTATTACTAATTTATAGAAATAAAATTATTTTTTACATTGACCTGTGCGCAGCAATCTTGGTAAATTCACTTCTTTCTAGTAGTTAATTGCTTCTCTTGGATTTTTTGTGTTCAGAAGTATATTGCCTGGAAATAATGAGAGCTTCTTTCTGTTCAGCCCTTATGCTTTTTATTTTGTTTTCTTGCATCATCGCACTGGTTAGGACATCTAGTATAACCTTGATAGAAATGATAGTGGGCATCTTTGTCTTCTTTGCCATCTCAGGAGAAAAGCTTTCAGTAATTCACCGTCAAGTATGCTGTTTGCTCAAGACTCATTGGAGATGACCTCTATCAGAATTAGACAGGTCCCTTCGATTCCTAGTTTGGTAAGTTTTTTCCTTTTTAAATCACGGATTGGTGTTGAATGATGTCAGTTGCTTTTTTTTTTCTTTCTGTTGAAATCATATGATTTCCTCTCCCTTTTAAAAAGGACTTTTGCATTCATGTTCATGAAAGATTGGTCTGTAATTTTCGTTTCTTATAATGTCTTTGTCAAGTTTTGATGCTATTGTTATCTTGATCTCGGAAAATAGATTGAGAAGGTTAATTCTTTTCTTTTCCCTGGCAGAGTTTAATGTGAGCTTTCTGTTGTTTCCCCCTTAAATGTTTGGAAGAATTCACCAGTGAGACTGTCTGGGCTTGGAGTTTCCTTTGAAGGAAGGTTTCAATAAGGGATTCATTTTCTTTCATAGACAAAGTAGGATTCAGATTTTTAATTTTTTCTTGATTTAGCTGAATATGTTTTGTTCTTAAGAAATTTGTACTTTTCATTTAAATCATCAAATTTATTAGTGAAAAGTTATTTGTGAGATGTTTTTATTTTCTTGTTAACATCCGTAAGATCTATAGCCATTTTCTCCTTATCCCCACTTGATATTGTCAATTTGTATTTTCTAATTTTTTTCTCTTTATCAGTCTTGCTGCGAGTTTATCAATCTTATTAATCTTTTCAAAGATCAAACTTTTGCCTTTGTTGAATTTCTGTATTGTACATTTGATTTCTATTTCACTGATTTTGTTCTTTTTAAAAATTTTCCTTCCTTCTGCTTTCTTTGGATTTGATTTTCTATTCTTTTTCTAGCTTCTTCATAACTCACTTGAGGCTATAATTTCATTGTAAACTCCTGTTATAGGTGCATCTCACAAATTCTCAGAGGTCGTATCTTAATTATCATTCAGTTAGACATATTTTCAAATTTCTGATGTGATTTATTCTTTATTCAGTGGATTATCTGAAGTGTATTGTTCAATTTCCGGGCAGTCGAAGATCCTCTAGTTAAATATTTCTTATTGATTTATTGCTTAATTCCCTTGTGTTCAGAGAATATATTCTGAATGGTTATGATTACTTGAAGTTTGCTTTATGACTCAGCATGTGGTCAGCTGTGGTGAATGTTCCGTGTGCATTTACAATGAAGTTGTCTGTTGTCTTTGTTGGTGCAGTGTTCTATATGTCGTCAAATTTGTTAATTGTGTTCAGATCTTCTGTAGCCCTAATGATTTGATTCTTTGGGGAGGATTGGGGTTTCTGATTGTTCTATAACTGTCGAGTGTGGTGTAGTTAAGGCTCCAACATGGTTTTGAATTTGTCTGTTTCTTCTTTTAGTTCTCAATTTTTGCTTTACATATTTTGAAGCTCTGTTATTGAGTACGCACCAATTTACAGTTATTTCTTGCTAATGGATTGATGCCTTTATAATTATGAATGTCCTTTTTTTAATCTCTGGTAATACTTCTTGCCTTAAAGTCTACTTTGTCTTATATTAGTATAGCTTCATCAGTTTTTTTTGAGGAAGATTAGCCCTGAGCTGCCAATTGTCCTTTTTTTTTTTTTTGCTGAGGAAGACTGGTCCTGAGCTAGCATCCATGCCCATCTTCCTCTGCTTTCTGTGTGGGATGCCTACCACAGCATGGCTTGTCAAAGAGTGCCATGTCTGCACCCGGGATCTGAACCAGCAGACCCCAGGCTGCTGAAGCGGAAGGTGTGCACTTAACTGCTGCACCACCGGGCCGGCCCCAGTTTTTCTTTTTTTTCATAAGTGTTTGCACGGTATGTCTTTTTATGTTAAAACAACTTTTTTTAAAAAAACTATTTTTTGGCCTTGTATTTAAAGTGTTTCTTTTGTATGCAGCATATAAATGGGTTCAGTGTTTAGGTTTCTAAAATGCACTCTGATAACCTTAGTTTTCAACTGGAGTATTTGGCCCATTTTCATGTAATGTAATTAATGACCGGCATTCATATCTATCACCTACTATTTGTATTCTATTTTACACACTCTTTTGACCTGACACTTATCTCTACTTTTATTAGCAAACTTTTAGTGGTTACCTTAGGGATTACAAATCTGTATCCTTACTTTATTACAGTGTAAAACAATTTATTACTTAGTTCACTTTCCTTCCTCTTTCTTAGAAAACGTTAATTCCACTTGCCCCTCCCACTTTTTATGTTACTGTTGATATACATGTTAATTCTAGACATGTATAAGACTCAGAAGACCTTAATGTTATTATTAATCAGTATTCATTTATATTTACCCACATTTTTACCTTTACCTTTATTTTTCATGTCTGTGTTCTGTTAGGGATCGTTTTTCTTCAACCTGAAGAATTCTCTTCCTCCTTTTCCTCCTCTCCTTCTCCTCCCAATTCTTTTAGTATGGTTCTGCTGTCAGTGTAGTCTCTCATTGTTTATGGGTCCAAAAACATCTTTGTTTTGTCTTTGCTTTTGAAGAATATTTCCACTTGTATAGAATTTTTGGTTGACACTTACTTTCTTCTAGCATTTTTTGTATGTTTGGTGAGGAAGATTGTTGCTGAGCTAACATCTGTGCCAATCTTCCTCTGTTTTATGTGGGACGCCACCACAGCTTGACTTGACAAGCAGTGCTAGGTCTGCACCCAGGATTCGAACCATGGAACATGGGGCTGGCTCCTCTTTTAGCATTTTAATGTTGTCATTCCATTGTCTTCTGGCTTTCATTGTTCTTGTTGGAAGTCAGCTTTCTGTCTTATTGTGGCTCTTTGCCAGTAATTTCTCTCCCTTTCCCTTGGCTACTTTTAAGATTTTTCTCTTTCTCTTTATTATATTAGCGCTCTTATTATGATGTGCCTAGATGTGGATTGATTAATATTCATCTTATTTAGAGCTCAGAGAGCTTGTTTTATTTAAATAAACTTTTTACCAAATTTCAGCATATATACATAAAAGTGCATACAATGTAAGTGTTCAGTTTAATGAGTTTTCACAAAGTAAACACAGCTGTGTATCTAGCAATGCTATTAAGAAACAGAAACACACCTCAGAAGCTCTTTCTTATATCTCCTTCTAGACATTATCTTCCAAAAGTAACAACTATGTTGACTTCCAGCGCTGTAGGTTAGTTTGCCTATTCTTGGTTGTTTGGTATGTGTTCCTGTTTCTGTCTCTATTCGATCAACATGTGTGTGGGATTCACCCACATCAACGCGCATATTTACAGTTGGGTCATTCTCATTGCTGCATGCTGCTTTTTCATTCTATTGGATGACTGTACCATAATTTATCCATTCTACTTTTGATGAACATTTTGTTATTAGAAATGTACTATGAAAATTCTCATATATGTCCTCTATTTAATATTTGTGTGCATTTCTGTTCTAGGAATGTTGTTGTTAGCTATTAGGATATGCATCTGTTCAGCTTTAGTAAATATTCACAGAGCTTTGAGAATCTGTAGTTTGATGTCTTTGATCAGTTTGGGGAAATTTTTGACAATTTTCTCTTCAAACATTGTTTTTTACTATTTCTCTCACTCTTTTTCTTTTTGGGACCCCATTTACATTTTGCATCTTTTCATTGTGTACTGCATATCTTTTATGCCCTTTTTCTGTGTTTCCCATCCTTCCTCTCTGTTGCTTCAGTTTGGATATTTTGTTTTCTTAGTCTTGTCATCCCGATTACTGCAGCATCAGTCTGCTGTTAAACCCATCTCTCAGAGGGCTTCTTATATTGTGTTGTTCAGGTTTTGAATTTCCATTTGGTTCTTTTTATATATGCTAAGTATCTGATGCTATTCTCATTTTGATTTTCACATCCTCTCCTTAATTTTCTTGACGGTATTTATCATAGTTATTTTAAAATCCTTGGCTATTAGCTCCAATCTCTGTATCACCTATGGGTCTATTGTGGTTTTTGGCCAAGTTATCTTCTCTCTTATCAAGCATAATAATTTTTGATTGAATGCCAGATATTGTGTGTGAAAAGTTTTAGAGGCTCTAAATGTTCCAAGTTGATATTATGTTCCTCTGGAGAAGATTTACTGTTTCCTTTGCGAGGCAGAAAAACTTGGAGATTGGTCTCCTTAATATAGCTGTGTTGAAGTTGGGTTATAGATTCTGTAGATCTCAATCTGTCTCCAGTTGGTTCCTGTTCCTTAGGTCTACCCCTCCAGGTGTTTACTGAGAGTCTGTTGTGTTCACCTCTTCTCCTTGTTGAGTCTTTCATTCTGGTCGTTGCCTTCACAGTTCTGTGAGACTTTAGAAAACTCTACGTTGCTTACAGATACTTATCACTTGGCTTTTTCCCTTTTCACCTTACTACATTCCAGGATGAAGTGAGTCATGTGGTTGAGAGCCTTTGACTCTCCAATTTTGACCCTGTAGCCTCACAAGGTCACATAAGCTCCATCATGGACCTTCACGTGTGCAAATATAACCAGGAAAGTGTTGATGCAGATTAACAACTCACCTCTCTGTTTTTCGTTTCTTTTTGTGATCTTAACCTTTCTAGTTCTCATTACTTTCATATGTCTCTGATGCTTTTATCAGGTTAGTATTTTATTTAGCTTTTCTTGATGTTATTCAAGGAAGTATTGGTCTGCCATAAACTATTTCCTTCCACTTGGATGTCCTCAATAAATGTTTATTTGCAAAGTTGAACGGCTTTTAGAAGTACAGGGTGTTGCAGGTGTGACCTATGACTGTAATTCAACCCTTTAACTACTAAATTTGATTTAATAAGTGAATGCAAAGTATTAGGAATTAAAGAATGGCTACATATGCCCTTTGGAGGAATAACTCAAATTTGATAGAGGATCTTTAAGGTATTTCATTAGAGTAAAGAAACATGCATTATTTTTAGTTTTTTAGCTTCTATTGATTTTAAAGCAGTCACAAAACTCTTAATATTCATATAATTAGTGTGCTGTGAGAGCATCTTATTTTTTTCTCCAAGACAGCAGTTTATTTCTGAGAGCCTGGATACCTTAGAAAGACAGATTTTGGAGAGACAAAGGTAAAACCTTAATGGTTCAGGAGAAGTATTAGGGAATGCTTTTTTAGT